CCCCAACACCAAGCATTTCAATTCCCCAATTTTACCTCGGACACTTCTAGTATTTGTGTATAAACACCAATAGTTTCCTATGCATGTTAAGTCCACAACCTTCCTCTTGCTGCCTCAAGACCTTAACCCCCCCCCCCCAACACCAAGCATTTCAATTCCCCAATTTTACCTCGGACACTTCTAGTATTTGTGTATAAACACCAATAGTTTCCTATGCATGTTAAGTCCACAACCTTCCTCTTGCTGCCTCAAGACCTTGCCAGGCAGTCCATATCGTTAGCCACAGTCTCAGTGGACAATTCTAATCCTTTTCCTTGTAGAGAAGTAACAGCTACCCCTTCATCTCTTTGAGATGACCCCTCCCGAACCAGAGACTTCTCGTCTCCTGTCGGCTTTCCCCCAATATTCAGTTTAAAAACTGCTCTGCCACCTTTTTGATTTTAAGCGCCAGCAGCCTGGTTCCTTCTCAAGACAAGTGGAGACTGTCTCTTCTGTACAGCTCCCTCTTGTTCCAAAAAGTATCCCAGTGCCTGAACCCTTCCCCACACACCATTGCCTCATCCACGCACTGAGACTCCTGATCTGTGCCTGTCTCTCCGGCCCTGCGCGTGGAGCATGTAGCAGCTCCAAGAAGGCTACCTTGGAGGTCCTGGCCTTGGGTTTCCTGCCTAGCAGCCTACATTTTTCCTCCAGGACCTCATAACTGCATTTCCCCACACTGTTGGTGCCAACATGTACCATGACCACTGGCTCCTCCCCAGCACTATCTACCAGCCTATCTAGAACACGTGTAATGTCTGCTACCTTCACACCAGGCAGGCAAGTCACCATACGGTTAGTATGCGGGTTTGCCACCCAGCTGTCTACCTGCCTAAGGATTGAATTACCAACTACTAAGCGTCGCCCTCCCTCTCTGCCAAACGATGGTTCCTTGGTGCGAAAGGATACCCGTTCACCAGCTGAAGAAGAGGTCTCTTCTGAGGTCACATTCCCCTTATCTGCAGTACTATGCCCTGTTTCCCATCGACTCTCATGCTCTCTGACAGCAATGGGGCTGCCATATTCAGAGTGGGACATATCTAATAAGTCCCCGAGAGTGACTGTCTCTGCTTCTCCAGGTCTGCCACCTTGGCCTCAAGGGAGCAAACTCGTTCCCTGAGAACCAGGCGCTCCTTGCACCGGGCACAAACCCAAGATTCCTGTCCAGTGGGCAGATAGTCATACATATGACACTCCGTGCAACACAATGGATAGCCCCCAACCCCCTGCTGGCATTCTGGCTTCATAATTGCTTTTAAAATAATAAGTATAGAAGTCTACTTACCTTACTGGGAACCCAAAGAGACTAGGGCCCTGGCTTTCTGGCTCTTCCTGGGCTTCTTACAGAGCCCCTAGGCTAAGAGCCCTTTGGCTCGTGTCTCTGGCAAGGTGTTGACTTAAATAGAAGCTTCCCTCAGCAGAGGGTGTGGCCAGCAGCTATTCAAATTCACCCAGGCACTCAATTACAGTCAAGCAGTGACCCTTTCACACCCTATCTCAAGCAGCCAGGACTCTGCAATGACTCACAACTCACCCACACACTCCCAAACACAGTACCCTCTCAGCTAAATCGCCTCAGCTGAAAGTAAATAAAAAACACTCACCCCTCTAGCAGCTCTACCTCCTGCTCCTTCTCAGAGCTCAGCTGGGTCAGCTCTGCTTCTGGCAAGGTCCTATCTCTAATAGCAGTCTGCTAAATGCTTGTGGGAAGCTCACAGGTGAAGCTGGACTAGAAGGGAATAAACAGCCTTGCCTTGTGGCTCATCCCAGAGCAACTGGTATTCAGAGATACAGTGCCATGTTAGAGGCTCTCATTCAGCTATCATAGCAAGCAGCTGTCCATAGACCTCTGCCTCAGGAAATAGTCTAACTGCTCTTTAAACACATCTAAGCCAATAGCCAATGTTGCCCGTTCCTTAAGCTAACAGTGTATTATGGGAAAGCATTCTTCCTTGAGTATATTCTGCGCATCAGCTTCATTTGGTGATGGTGAGTTCTAGCATGAGAGAGAAATCTCAGTATACTTTCTTCAAAAGGTAAAGGTTTCAGTCGAGTCCGACTCTAGGGTCTCCGTTTCAAAGCCGAAGAGCCAGCGCTGTCCGAAGACGTTTCCGTGGTCATGTGGCCGGCATGACTAAACACCGAGGCGCACGGAACGCTGTTACCTTCCCACCGAAGTGGTACCTATTTATCTACTTGCAATTTCTTGCTTTTGAACTGCTAGGTTGGCAGGAGCTGGAACTAGAGACGGGAGCTCACTCCGTCATGCAGCAACTCCTAATTTTAGAAGCCTCTATCTCACTTCCTTCCCAATTTAGGCAGACTAGAATGAAAAGCATCAGAAGCTTTTCCCACATTCAAGAAAAGACAAAGGTTGGTTATCTGATAAAGTCCAGTGATGTTTTTAAAAGCCAGCAAGAGCCAGTGTGGTGTCCTGGGTGGAGCATCAGGGCTCTGGGAGACCCTACTCTGACACGAAAACTTGCTGATCAGGGCTCTGGGAGACCCTACTCTGACAGGAAAACTTGGAGACTTTGGACTAGTCACTCTTTCTCAGCCAAACCTACCTCACAGGCAATGTTCCCTCTAAACTGTGGAGTCTTGTGAGCAAAAATTCTTCTTTGTGAGCTACTGGCATTAAAGTTGTGAGCGAGCAATTTGGCTACTGCATATATTAGTTTGCTGTGGAGCCATCCTTCCTGAGCTAAGACAAAAATATGTGAGCTGGAGGCTAAAAAACTGTGAGCTAGCTCACACTAACTCAGCTTAAAGGGAACACTGCTCACAGGGTTGTCTTGTGAGGGTAAAATGGAAGAGGAAAGAAGGTGCTTTATTATGGGGGTCACATTTCCCATTCTGAAGGGGTGGTTCCCAAACCAAAACACCTTAATGCCCTCTCCTGCGGGTACATGTGGAAAGAGATAGCCACCTGCCTCCTTGATGGCAAAAGTTTCACATTCCCTTTGGTGACACTTTTGAAACACAGCAATAACCAAACTTGATGGCTGGCGTCCACCGAATCCACTCACTGGGCCTTCACTGACAACTTTCCCTCCTTTTCTGTTGCCCCACCGTGGAGGCCTAGGTCGCTCCCTTGGGAAGGGCTCACTTCCGGGACTCTACACGTGCTCAGCGTCGCGTCTATAGTGGGGTGCTCCCCTTACCTTGGAGCGGGGCCTACGGAGTTAGCAGGCCATGCCGGTGCTGGCAAGCGAAGTCCGCGCAGCTCTGCCTTGCGCGCGTACGAGATGCTGCGCGCCTGCAAAGTCACCGGGACCAAATTTCGGGCGATTTCGCAGTTTCGTGATCATGGTTTTTGAGGATCACGAAACTGCGGAAGAAATCGGGCGCGGGTCAAATGCAGCCCCGCCGCACCTCTAGTGCAAAATCGCCCTTCGTGTCTCCTCGGCGCCGCGCTGAAATCAGGCAGGGGAGGGGAGCGGACTGCCGGGGACTCGCCTGCAGCCTGCGAGAAGTGAGCCGCGAACGATTCACGGGAAGCGGGCCAGCAAGAGGAATCTGTAATGTATTGGCACAGTTACATGAATCACCTCATTAGAAACCCATGTTAAGCTTCGAGCCCAAGCCAGGGCTCCTCTGACCGAACTTCCTATTGGTCGCTTTGTAACAGCGACCAATCAGAACTGAACTGTTCCCCTGCGAGGGAAAGCTTCTCATTGGTCTTTAACCAAGCAATCTTATTGGTTGTTATTTGTAAATAGGCGTGGCTACATTAGCCCGGTTATGTTTAAACTGCGGAAGAAATCGGGCGCGGGTCAAATGCAGCCCCGCCGCACCTCTAGTGCAAAATCGCCCTTCGTGTCTCCTCGGCGCCGCGCTGAAATCAGGCAGGGGAGGGGAGCGGACTGCCGGGGACTCGCCTGCAGCCTGCGAGAAGTGAGCCGCGAACGATTCACGGGAAGCGGGCCAGCAAGAGGAATCCAAGGGGGGCCTACCGTACCTCGGGCCCGGCGGCTGACCGCAAGGAGGACTGCCAGTACGACGACGGTCCAGGGAGCCATTCTGAAGCTGAGCGCCGCCGGCGCTTGCTTTGTCCGGCTCCGGACCTTGCTGACTTTTACTCGGAGGCTTCCCGGAACCGGCGGCGCTTGCAAAACTTGGTAGGAGGCGGCGCTCCTCTAGAGGGCAGGAAACGGACCCGTGGGTGTAAAGGTGCGGGCAAGTTGCGCAGCCGATTTAGGGCGACCTTCGCAAGGGACTTTCAAGGCCAGTGAGCAGCATTGCAGAGGTGGTTCGCCATGGCCTTCCTCTGTAGTGGCTTCCTTGGTGGGCTTCATTCCAAGTACTGCCCCAGCTTAGCTTCTGAGGTGTGACCAGATCGGCCTATAACATGCCCCTCCCAGGGGACATATTAACCAGGAGGGGGGGGCACACATACAACTTTTTACATGCCAAATTCTGCCCTTGCTGAGCTGGTAGAAAAATTACTAGAGTTGTCTTCGCTAGGGTTGCCAGCTTCAAGTCCCTAAATACCTGGAGATTTGGAGGGTGGAGCCTGAGGAGGGTGGGGTTTGGAGAGGGGCAGGATTTCAACAGGGCATATTTCCACAGAGTCCACCTTCCAACGTGTCTGCTTTCTCCAGGTGAACTGATCTCTGACGCCTCGAGATCCGTTGTAATTCCACGCACTCCCCAGCCCCCACCTGGAGGCTGGCAACCGTATGTATTTCCTAAGCAGGCTGGTCTTTGCAAGTGGGACAAGAAATAGTTCCATCTCTATGTTACTTAGCATTGCAAACTTCAACTGATCCCTCTCTCCGCCCCTTTTAAAATCGACCTGATCTGTAGCAAATACCGAGTAATCGGATTGACCTTTCATGCTACAGAAAACTTCAAACTGACCATCCAGGCATTGAACCTCTATTAAAGCAACAGAACATTGTCCTCTTGTCCAGTTGGCGACTCTCATCTTGATCAGGGAGAAAATGAAAAGATTTATGAAACTTGATATCCAGCTTTTTAAAATCGGTTTGGATATGATGCCCTACTTGTGTTTTAGTCTCTATTTTTTCCTTCTTTCATTTTTATCCCTCCCCTCCTTCCTCTGTTTAGGGGGAGGGGAGGGGAGAGGTTGGGTTTATGAGAAGGAAAGGGCTGGTTGATAGTAAGTGTAGCATATTACATATTCATAAAGCCACAATCAGCTGAACAATTAATAATGTAGGCTGTGCCGCCAATGCACAAGGCAACCTTGGATCTCATTTTCCCCAGCAAAGGAATGGGGGAGGGGGGTGAAGCATAGATTTATTTATTTATTTATTTATTTATTAAACTTATATCCCGCCCTCCCCCGTAGGGCTCAGGGCGGCTTTAAAAAGAAAAAAGTGGCAATGAAGGAAGGGATGGGGGAGTAGGCACAAAGACACCTTTCTCTGGAAGTGCAAGCGCAAGAAAGGGAAAGACCTCAGCCAGTTTTAGGGTTGCCACTGGTGGGGGATGAGGGAGTAGTGTTGGCTGAAACTCCAGGAGATTTGGAGATGGAGCCAGGGGAGATCAGAGACCTCAGTGGGATACAGTGCCACAGAGTCCACCCTCCAAAGCAGCCATTTTCTCCAGGGGAACTGATCCCTGTAGTCTGGGGATGAGCTATAATTCTAGGGAATTTACAGGCCCCACCTGGAGGCTGGCATCTAGCAGAACAAAAACAAATGGTTGACCACCAGCTAACCATTCTGTAACAAGGCCAATGCCACGCAAGTCTTTTGAGAGTTAAAAATATTATTGTCTGCACACAAATACACACACTAAACCCTCATAACCACCACAATCTTCCATTTATGTTCACTTAAAAAAATAGATTCAGGTGGGTAGCCGTGTTGGTTTGAGTCCAGTGGCACTTTTAAGACCAACAAAGTTTAATTTTGGGTATAAGCTTTCATGTGCATGCACACTTCATCAGATAGATAGGGAGGAACTAACCAAAAATCCTTTAGAGAATGGGCAGGGAAAGGTCCATACTTTAAACAATGTAGTTTTATTCCCAATAAAAGAAACATCTCTTTTATAGTTTGGTTTCATTTTTACTCCACTCTCCAAGGAACTCAGGGTGATATAAAAGGCTCTCTTTTTTCTCTCTTATCCCCACAACGACCATATGAGGTAGGCTAGACTGAAGAATAACAGTTGGCTCACGGTCATCCAGTAGGCTTTGCGGCTGAGTGGGGAATTTGAACTCAGGCCAGCCCCATACCATGTCTGACACTAATCCTGACACCACACTGGGTGTGGGAATGGGGTGGGGAGCACGCCACGAATCTGTGCCTGCCTGCCTGAGCAGCAGCACCCTTCCGGCATTCAGACCATCGCCACCTTCTAGCTGAAAATAAAACTGGATTCACAAGAGCTCAACTTCCACAGTCTTCTCCTACCCCAGTTCCGCTTCATCCGGCTCAACTCCGCAGTCCCTCCAGGGCTGGCAAGGGCTGGGGGGCAGGGATTAAAGAAAAAGAAACTAAATTATGGTGGACATTTCTTTTTAAAAAAATAAGTGACAATTTTATAAAGCACTACTTCTTACTTATGGGGGTCTGTCTGCTTCCCTGCTTATGGCCATGCTAGGGTGAACTGGCCCAAGGGACTGATGTGGGCATTACTGGGTCTCCATAATATTCTGGGGCAGGTGGCTGATTGGATGTCTGTCAGGGCCCAGTAACTGCAAGGTTTCAACTGCCAGGGAATCAGCAACCACAGTTCCTCCCCTGAGGAGGACTCAGGGAGCCCAATCTTAACACATTCTTCTGGTTGGTCATGAGGGTGGAGGGTATTTATTTATTCAGGGCATTTGTTATGTCTCTTTTCTCCAGGGTGGGAACCCAAAAAAGCTTACAAAAATACCCATTCAATTTACAAACAATTCAAATTCAAACAAACAAAATGCAATATAAGCAAGCAGAAAAACAACAACAGAGAAACATGGAAATCCTAGACACCAGAATACAAAGTTTACAAAACAAAACTTCTTTTTCTATGACTCTGGTATCTTTTTTATTATCTTATTTTTTATTTTTTTTATTTTTTCTTTAACATTTTTGAATCTTTAATAAGCAAACAAATCATGTGAGTCAATATAGATGTTATGCAATAATTATCACACAGCAAATCTAATAAAGTGATATAATACAAAATAGAGAATAATATAAAACCACTCAAATTATTATAAAATGATATAAATATATAACATTATATAATGTATTATATATTATATTATTATATAAATATAAATATATTAATATAAAATAATATAAACTACTCAAATTAAAACTAACTGTATTATACACACACACATACATTACATATACATATATGTATTCTCACCAAGAAGGGCTATACATTGTAAGACTCTTCAGTAACTCTCAGACGCGATAAATCTGTTTATGGATTTTATTAGCTATCAGGAAAGTTGCAGGTGAATCAAAGGCTTTGACAGTAATGCCAGGCAATACAAGTTTAGCTCTTACGAGAACTTTGGTGCGGCCCACATTCATACGTCATGGTTACATGTGACAGAGACAGGTTAACAAAGTACAATTAAAACTGTGAGAATGTTTATCTAACAGACTTCCTGCAAGGCCAAGAGACATCATGAGAAGCGAACAATCTCCTGGCCATTGTGGAGGAGGTTTCTCATAAGAGCTACCAAGCGCACTATCTACAATAGACAACCAAGCCTGTTTCAACTACCCCTCATCCTGGAAATGTCAGAGGAGGACTTTATATAATAGTTGATTCATAGCTAGCAGGTGTTACAATCAGCATGAGAACAAAAAGCCAGTGTGAGAATTCAGAGATAAAGTGAAGGGGATATGCAAGCAAGCAGGGCATTAAGCTATGTACATCAGAACACCAGTGAGTATCCAGACTGACCCCAAACCATAGGTCCGATTCTGACATGCGCCCCCCCTAGACCCTTCAAGCCAACCCACCTACCTGCCACCAGGCTTATCAGGGTACATCCAATGGAACTTTTGGATTAAATTAGGAGCATGCATATGGTGGGAGACCACCCATTCATTTTCTTCAGGACCAAAGTCCTTCCCCACCCCTCAGAAGGGGAGGAGGAGGAGCTGCCAGTTCCGGCTTCCACGGTGAGACCCCCGGATCTCTCTTTAATAACCTAATTATATGTTGTCTTTCCTATTCCCTATGAAACATTGTTAGTCCCCTGTCTAAAAGTGTAACTGTAAATCACTTTGAACCCACTTGTGGGGAAAGCGATTAATAAATCAAAAGTATTATTATTATTATTATTATTATTATTATTATTATTATTATTATAGTGAAACACAGGATGATGACGACATAGCGTTTTAGGGAGGTCAAGTTCCACAGCCATTTTATTCATCACCCTCAGCACCTTGAACGGTCCCACATACTTCCACCCCAATTTCCTGTGCAAAATAGTGAGGACACATTTTTGGGGACCACGTATTTTTTCATCCTCATTAGGGTGAGCTAATATAGGCTCTGATGTGAATAGTGTTTTAAGTTCATTGAACACCTGACACTTCCAGTGACACTATTTTGCATGCTAATTTAACAAACCACTCCTATAACTATGATATGTAATTTCATTTCATCATCTAACGAAGTGTGCATGCACACAAAAGCTTACACCTTGAATAAAACTTTGTTGGTGTCAAACCATGTTTCGCTTCACTTTATATAATTTGCCATAGACACTGGGAAGAGGTGAATTCTTTAGGAAGGGGGAGTGAGTGCAGTGTGTGTGAGTGCTCTATCTTAGACGGTGGAACGTTTTCCTAAAGATTCGCCTCTCCCTGGTTCACAAGGAGATGTCCTTGAAGCTTCCAGTGCCAGCTTCTGTAATAGATAATGAGACTGTATATTCCCATGAGAAGGGGGGTAGAGACATGGGAGCCTGGCTGTATGACATGACGTGTGTGTGGGCTTTAGGAGGGGTTACAGTTTGAACTTTCTATATCTATGAATGTACCCGCCAAAAAGCTTTAGAACTGACACAGTACTGTTCATGCCTAGAACATGTTTAACTCAATAAAGCTTTTCACTGCCAAAGACAGTGTGCTTGAGAGTGACTTGACCAGGGTGAACATAAGAACATAACATAAGAGATGCCAATGTTAGATCAGGCCAAAGGCCCATCCAGTCCAACACTCTGTATCACACAGTGGCCAGAAATACCAGTGC